CCCCTCCCCCCATTAGAAAAAGACATCAACAGTTCCGGTCGGGGAACGATATAATTGTCTTACCCTAGGGTATATCTTCGCTAGCCGAGGGTTACGATCTGGCATGATACGTTCTACCAACCTAAGTTTTCGTAGGTAGACCGGATCGCCTTGGTTAGCGAAGAAAACTAAGGTAAAGACGGAGAGACTCCACTGTCGTTACAATTCCATGACAGATCACGTTGAAATCAAAGGTTTTGCTTTTACCAAGAATTTAGCTTTTTCCGCGAATTTGCGACTTCATGGAAACTTGTATATATGATGATGAAAATTTAAAGGGGGATTTCAAATATGTCACATTAACCAACATTTAATGCAATTCGATATACTTTCAATATAAATTAACTTGTACAGTAAACAGTCTTCCAAGAAACGCTTACAAATTTCAAGGAACGGATGAAGAAAATTTCTAGTATGTTGCAGTATAATTTTAAAGCAGTTTAAAAATTGATCCAAAACATGGTTGGCATACCGCCAACTCTGTAAAGAAAGTTATTTAGTTATCTTAATTATTGCAGATAGTGTACACTGTTGTACATTGTGTTGAATAAGTAAATAGGCGAAATAAATAGCTTCCGTTTGTATTCGAATAAATTACAAATAAATAACATTACAACTATATTGATATACGATATACTTGAAAAAAACATATTAAATAAATATAGAATTATGATAAATACAATAATTATATTGAAATATAGTTACTGTATACCGGGATTTTTTTTTCTCACAGTCACACTTTCGCCCTTTGCCAATGAAATCGATTCTCGCCCAGTGATAATCTCGCCCTACACCTTTGTTTATTATGTTTGCTGTGCGGTTTACTTATATTCACTTATGATAAATTCGCCCTAATTAGGGAGGGCGAAAAAGGCGAAAATTAAACTGCAGCGAACATTTCCCGGTATACAATAAATTAATGTCGTAATGGATGTAATATGTCTCCTTTTAATATACGTGTAAGGGGTATTTAGATAGAACATTTAATGTGCTCCTCATTGTCAATGACATTAACGTTACATTTGATTTGAAAGTTGATTTGAGATAGCCCAGTGGATTATCGGTTGATAATGCATAATGGTTTTGCGATAAACCTACCAATTATTTTACACTGATCTGTTGTATATTACATAAAGGCCCCATGGGCACTTGAAAAGACACAACTCTTCTTCTTCAACGTCGATTAAGCTATTTGTGACGTCACAAAAAGCCAGGGATGAAACTTAATTTTATCCAACAAAAATGAAAGAATGATCGGGTAAATTTACGTTGGACATCACATAAGCGGCCTTAGCGATACTATAATTTAAGTAGTTAATTGGTCAATAGGACGCAATTAACAAGAAAATCCTGGTGCTGTAAACAGGTAAATTAAAATGAATGATATACAAGTCGTTACCCATCTTTAACTATATTATGTCATTCTGATGAAATAAAACACTTACCCTATTGCAGTTAAAGTTCAGCCTTGTTATACTGCCACCATTTGCCTAGAGGAAATTTTGGCATCATAATCTTGTTGTTTTTGTAGGCAAACTGGTGCTTATGCACAAATTCTGGTTCGCGTAATAGCTAATGACTTCTTCCAGTTCATGGTGGTCTTCACAGTATTTCTACTAGTCTTTAGTGGGACGCTTCTCCTCGCACTAAGGGGCGAGAATCAGACGGCCATTATCAGCGATACAAGGTATGTATGAGGGGTTGAAACATGATCTAAATATATATGTTTTTAATAGATGATATATAAACAAGTTCTTGCGAAGGAAAACATAAAATGAAATAACATATATCCAAGACCGACCGCCAGGCCTATCTGCCTTCTTTGGCTTCTTCAGGCGGACTTATTATTTTATTCTATATATATATAGATCAATCAATGATATTCCATTGATAAGCTAAATGGATCAGCCAAATTTTCAAATTAACAGAAATTCTAAGGAAGGAATATTCTTATATCGGGATAATAAGGTTTCACCGAAATATTTTCAAAATAATTAATAGCACATTCAGGTTAATTTTACATGCTTGACTATTTTGAGTAATTTGCATACAATTTACTAGGAGGTGTACCAGTTGATGACCAATAAGGACATATGAGGCTTGACTGTTGATATCTATTGCTACACTTTTACTTTCAATCTTTGTAGAATTACATAAAATGTTGTTTTTTTTTGTTTAAAAGTCCATTTCTTATATTGTTCTTTTGTAGTTCTTTTTGGGCGATCTTATTTCTAGGACTCCGGATATTGGTTGAATCAGAGAAGGTCATAGAGTACACAAACATTGAGTACGTATACACATTGATAATGATTGCTTAATTTGTCATAGAGTACAAATAATCAGTACGAGGAAAACTAATGTTTACAGTGGTCAGAGTGTACATAACTATTGCGTACGTTGACAAGTATTGTTTACATAGGTCAGTGTGTATCAAACTTTTGTATATGTTAATATGTATTGCTTACAATGGTCAGAGTGTATACAACTATTGCCTACGTAGACAAATATTGCTTACATTGGTCACAGAGTACGTACGCACATATTGGGTAACTATTCAGTACATTGTACGCAGAGACTGAGTACGTAGACAATACGGATGTGTTGGTCAAAAAGTATATAGAAAATGACTACGTAGATAAAGTTCTCGTTTGGTCTTATCTACACAGAAATTGAGAACTTACAGTTTGGCATACTGGGTATATGATAATGGAACATTTGCTGAGTAATTTCTACTCTTAACATGTATTAAGCGGCGAGATCACTGCGCTCTAGAAATGGAAACATACGGGGCAATACAGATTTAGATTATCGTCACACAAACTATTAAAGTGATGTCATATTACTCATGCGTATATAATTTTCACGAAGAATATGAATTTTTATTACAATATTAAGTAAAAAAGCCTGATTTGGTAGCAGTTTAAAATTTACGTTTGGATCAATTATTTGTGAAAACAAATGTAAGACAACGGTAAATCATGGATATCAAAATTAATTCAATTTTAAATGTTTGCATAGCATAAGTTTTGAAAGCACCAATAACGCACAAGCCTTTAAAAATGAAACAACAGAAAGCTAGAAAATAGAAGAAATCATGAATACCCACAAAAGTCACGAAACAAAATGGACATGATTTTCATAATGACATTCCTTCATGTTTGAGTTTGTCAATTATCTGATCAAGTTACTGTAAAAATGGCAATGCTTGCAGTCAATTAGCGTGAAATGATTCATACCCGAATGTTTATTAGTTATTCTATATGTCAAAGATGTTTATAATATATAGAGTTCAGAACCACTGCCAATGTGAAAATGTTCACACTGCGAGAGTTTCCACTTTCACAGTACCGTCACAGCTACATATAAGGAAACATTATTGTCATTTCAGTCCATGGAGCTGTTTCATCATGGTCCTATTCTTATTCTCATGCATGGTGTTATTGCTAAACCTACTGATTGCCCAGTTAAGTGGCACGTACCAGCACATACAACAGGGTGCTCCAAGAGGCCTGGAGGTCAACCGGGCCTGGATCGTGGCCCGGATAGAGCTGAGGAGCATGCTGGTCCAACAGGTAATTGTTTGATTGGTTGATTGTTGAATGTTAACGTCATCACCAAATAATGTGTTATACATCGATGGATGTCAATATGGACATCGAAGAAAGGTTAACTATTCCCAATGTTGTCCGTGGTTCGTCGTGAGCGTTTGCGCCTAAGTGTATTAGGAGGCGCGGGTTCGACTCCAGGAGTTGGAGGTAAGTTGTATCGGACCTGCTAACAGAGTCTTAAAACACTTGTAACGACACTGTAATCGTCAGCAGGAGCATATCGGTTGTCCGTGACAAAGCAGGTTACATAGCTTTGTATTTAAAACAAAATCCAACAATGAGATGTACCTTCGGGAAGCCAAAACTATTTCTTAGAAATTGGAAAGAAATGGCCTATACAATAGGATTGTATTGTTCGTCTCTTGAAATCATGCGATTGAAATATGTTGCCATTCTGGTTAATGTCCCAATTGCAAGCCAAACGTGTGTAACATCCAATTTGTCTTCAGTAACAAAAAATGCTTTTATATGGTTTTAATGTATTCTTATGTCATAAACACGTTTTATATCACGTGTAAAAAAAAAAAAAATGTAGGATGCAGAAAGTATATACATGTATATGTTGTACAATTATGCTTTTGAATAATACCCTCATTAAAACCTTTTCTTGTTTAGGGATTCAGATTTAAATACTACCTAGAGAAGAAGGAGTTGAAGGATATCAACAAGGTGTTGGAAAAATGGGAGTCTCCTCCCTTGCAGGAAATGAACAAGAATATGCAAGCTATAGAAGAATGTGTTGAAACCCATAAACTTTATCTCCAATCAGTAACAACTCGACTAGCGAGACAAGAACGAACACTCATCAGAATACAGTAAGTGTCAGTAGTTTTTAGCAGTTTCTATAATATATTCAAATGATTTATAGTTTAAGCATATCTTTTACTTCACCTCTGTTTTCCTTCTTTTTCTTTCACGGTTAACTTTTTCGACACTTTTTACAAAGTATGTCAGGATTTTGATGCTACTGTTTTAATTTTGTTACCAGTAACCAGTAATTTTCTCCATTTGGAACCCAACCCAAATAGAAAAGAAAAGAAATATTTGTCTATGAAAAAGTCACTAGACACACCGAATGACTTTCTACGGTTATTCCAAGATGGATGCATTATCCTTATAGCATACGACATACTTTTAAGTTTCGGGATTTCGAAAAGCTTGATGTGGGTTCTGATAGACCCAACATTTGGAACTTTAAGTTAAGTTCTATTGGGTAGAATGTATGTGTCTTGGTGAAGTGCAGCCGTCAGAAATTTGCATGCTACCCGATCGCAGGTTAATTTGGAGGCACGGTACATGTGGTCTAGTGGTAGGACGCCGGGCTCGTGACCGAAGGGTTTCGTGTTCGAGTCACGGCACGGCACTGTGTTGCATCTTTGAGCAAGATACTTTACTCCGCTTGTTCAAGTCTACTCATCTGTAAATGAGTACGTGGTTGGGCAATGCTAGAATTGTTGAATGTGAACTGCTTTGAGACGACCTATGAACTAGGTTGTGATAGATCAGTTTACAAGAACCTCGAATTATTTAATATTATTATTATTTGAATCTCTTACAATTAATACCACTTGTGCTAATTATAACAGAAGTTGTTACTTTTGTGTTTGCAGTTTTGCAAACACTTGTTATTAATCAAATCGATCACAAAATGTAAAGTACTTTCAATCCACTATTAAAAACCTTAGTTATTGGTATTATTGAAATATTCAATTGGTAAATCAAACAAGAAAACATAACTAATTCTTTTGATTGCAGAGAAACGCTGGATACTTTGTCGAGAAGAATGATACCTGATTGGACGATCAATAATCTCAATAATGACGCATGTGCCAATGATGACGTCACGATATAAGAAGTCAAGAGAAAACAATACTAGTCAAAATGACCCCAAAGCCCCTTAGGTCAGAGACATCGCTGATTTCCACATGATAAACAAACTCAGAAAGCGTACACAATGCAAACGTATATTTTACATTATAAAGTTGATGAAATTCAACAGAGAACATCAGGTGTTTTTCTTATAAAGTAGAATCAGTGTGTTGTATATTAGCAAATCGAAAAAGGTTTTGCAAAAACTATGAATAAGTGGACATAAAGATTACCTATGCCCTAACTGGAACATAGCACGATAGGAAAATATCTTGAATCGAAGTATTATTCCCTTAAAGGTGGCCGACATTNTCTTGGTCAACTTCTGCCATCGGTACTCTACCTCTAAAAATGGCTGCCACTGTGAGGTAACGTCTTTGACTCGGGTTACAAGCTCCCATCATATTGTTGGCATCAGAGATCGCTTGGGTTAACTTAGCAACAGTAAGTGAACGGTACAGGGCGCCTCCTCTTGAAATAAGCGGAGCCCTTTACCTCGGATGACCCGTAAAGACACATCATGTATAAATGCTATACATTTTGTTGGCTATGAATTGATACATGTACTTAATCATTGCACAGAAAATACAAGAGCATTGTTTCGATATTTGACAAACTTAGTTTCTTTATTTTTCAACAATCCTTTTGTTCATGTTGGGCAAGCAGTAAATGGATATTTCCGAAAATGTAATGCTAGAAGTTGTTCAAAACTTCAAATTATCTTCATTAAAAAAAAAATGATAGCATTTGGCTAAATCCCTGGACCAATCTGTCCAAAATCGATGATCAGATGCTTCAGATCTTGACTGGGTTGAATACCAGTCATATTCTGACCAACTGGGCTAGCTATGTAGTATGTAGTTGATTAAATGAAGATAGGTGAGGAAATGGAAAAACCACAGCCAGACTGGGATTCGAACCTGGAACTAACCAGGTCTTTATCTTTCAACGGCAGCTATTTTTGAAAAATCACTTCGTGACACTTATTATCTTTGTAAGTATTAGTCAGGAAAACCCCTGAACCTCCAGACACGGTTAGGCTTCTATCTGAACAAATCTCAACAAATCATATAAATACCTATACCGTAAACATTACACTACTGTTGGCTATAATATTGTTAATCATGCACACATACTAGTACCTAAGCAGAGAGTCTCCGGAAAGTCTAATTTTCGTATAAACTGTAATGATTGCTAGGGAGGGGAGGTCTCATCCGACTTGCAAACGGCTTATGTTAAGCTTGTCAGTTAATGGATCTTCAATACCATGCAAGTGAAAAATGCAGCTCACCTCTGTGTAACATTGTCAAGGGAACTTTTGCCTGCCATGCTCAGAGATAATCTGTTTGTCTGACATCACCCGAAACACCGGTCCTCTTCCACTTTCGTCATCTGCTGCAGCTGATCGATACGTAACGACCGCCACCTACGATACCGCACATATGGGAGATAACTTCGCGCAAAGCATTCTGATCTAGTTGGCCAGAGAACACATAAAGGTCCCTGAATTGATAAAACGAACAAGTTAATAGGTCTTAATTACCATTTTGTGGTATTTACAACAATAAAGTACAACACTAACACAAAATGCGTGAGTATTCTTATTAAAGGTGTGTAAAAATCAAAACAATTAAGTTGACATTTTTTTCTCTATTTCTTGAAAGATATAAAAAATTTTTTTTTATTCAAATGACAAACAATCGATAATAACGGAAAATCATTTTAATTCATAAACGGGAGTCAAGAATAAGTATTTCTAAAATCAATACATCGAAATTCTTTGGGATAGTTTTGTCGCAAATTGGATTTTGAGTTTTAATAATAATTAATCTGATATAAGTTTATATATCTTGTTTCATAATTGTGGAAAAAATGATAAAGTTTGTATATACTTTAGAGAAGATATGTATATCGAGGGAGGTATCCTTGTATTTGAGGATGTCTACGTACAGTGAAACGGAGCCATATTACTCAAGTACCTGTTCACTCTGGCTCTGATGTTCCCTGGAATTAAGTTGAGCGTTAGCGTCGCTTCAATCACTAGGTCTGAAGTTAAGTCTTTCACATTTGCACAAACGTTTTCACAGTTCTACATAAAATTCACATTAAAAAATCGACCTCACATTTCACTAAAGTAGTACTTAACGATTGCGAGAAAAATGCTTTTGGATTCAACATGACCCGCGTATATTTGATGATGCAATTACACATATTTTCATTGAATAGTTCTGAAATCGGTAGTAATGCTTTCATAACAAAATTTAATGTACTGAAAGAGAATTTCCTGAATTTCTATTTCAAAATATTAAGATATATCACAAATTTATCTCTGAAATATAATTGTTGTGGAATAAGTTGGTAAGGTAAAGAAGAAAACAGCGAAACATTTTTATGATAACATCATATTGAAAAGCTACGGAAAAATAATGTAAATAGAAATTCAGATTTATCTATCATGACGAAAAGAAAAATTTCGGTTAATGCCACCCAAGGCGACGTCAGGAAAATGCAATTAAAATGTAGAAACGCATGAATTACATATAGATATACATATAATGAACGAAAAATGGATGGTTATCAGCTTTTGGTCCCGGACTGTAGTATCGATCAGAAGCCCTTGAAATGGTAAAGTAATTTTCAGGAAACGATTTAATTGTACCAAACAAGCAATACTAAAAAGTGTGCCTGTAATAATTAACGGTAAGTAAAGATATCATTGATGATTCGAAATCTCGATCCAGCAGGTTACCCCACACTTTGCCCATACGCTGTAACAATCGTGCTTATTTTGTTAACATAATGCTTTAAGTGTATGCAATGGAGAAATACATTCTTGATAAGATTAGATATGCTTCATAATATCGTTCACCACATATGATAATATCATATATTTTTATTTGGTGATTTAGATATTAACTAGTTATTTTGTGAATGACAATAATGAACTTGTATATGATTATTCTTGTTGGCTCCGGTTTAAGCGCGCCCACATTTGGATCTTAATGTAGGAGGAAACTGGAGGACCCGGAGAATACCAACGTGGTCGCGTAAATGATGACTCGACGCGTTTACACGCCAGATCGGCCGTCTTTGTGAAAGTTATTATAGCAAAATACTTATGCAGTCTTGATGCATATAGTCATAGGGAAATAACTGTTACTCTCTGAGTTTCGGGTCAAAAACTTGAATGATAGAATAATCTCGACAAGATGATTGCACGGGGGATATATACGTAGAGACCCAGGAATTAAGTTTGGGTGTTGCCAAAAAGTTTAAACTCAGAAAAAGAAATATTTTTGCACTTATCTAAAAATAATAAATTAGAACTTCATGTATACTACATTCTGCCACCAAAAAATATATAGAACTTCTTTATTGCTGAGTTTGGGACAAATAAACTTTCACCGCCAAGCGGAGCGATGAAAATTCTTTTCTTCTGGAGATGTAATCCTAAACTTTTTCAAGCACTGCCGAGCGTAGAAAGCAAGAGTTTATCGGACATTATTTCCATTGAACAAACAGATCGAGTGAGGCAAGGCGTAGAATAGTTTTCTGAGGTTGCAGTATTATTCCAGGTTATATTTTATAACGTAGAGTATTTATATTTTATGATGGCCGAGCGGACCGAGTGTTAACAAATTCTGTAAAAAAAGTGATAAACATGTAGAATGTTGGTTAAGATGTTGATGTTTGTGTCTGGCCCTTAAAATGGTCACGTCACTTGTCAAAGTTAAGGTGGGGGTCTGTAGATTCAGCTTATAATGCGCGCGAATCTACATGTACATGTAGTTTAGGCGAGCATCAATATAAATTATGATTTACCTGTTTGTCTTTCATTGTGAAATAGTATGCATACATATGTACAAGGGCCTAATGAAAAGGATGTACACGCCAGGCTTTTATACTAACATTGGTTATTAATCACCTGATGAAGTGATGCTAATAAAGGTGCTTCATTGTCTTTGAAATTTTTGAAATTTATATCTTTTTAATTGGTATAATAAATCACTCCTGGTGACCTTGTGTACTTGGAAACCACCGGTGAAAAACCTATATACCTAATTACAACAGATGATATAGTCCTCCTCCACCTGACAGGGTGATCACCACACCGTGACATTAGAACAATAAGATTAGATAGAGTCAGTTCGGTGAGCCTTGACCACTGTAGACCCCTACTAAGAGGATTAATCCCATATTGTTTAGACGCGTAGTGGACGCCTTGTTTGGGCAACACCCTTATGCATATATATATATTCAAACTGCTGGCAAAGGGAGGCCATAGACAAATCATAGTTCAAGGGATGGTTGATATTAGTAGGAAATCATATATGAAATAGAGGAAAATCTTCAAAAACCTTGGTCCGGATTATTTTTGGACACAGAAAAAAGGGTGTTGCCCGGGCAACTAGACATTTCTCATTTTGAGGCAGACCTAGCACGGAGTCAGAGACGGACACTGAGAGTTATAAATTCAGGGAACATCTCAAAATCTTTCTTCATTTCATCTGTATTAAGGAGGCTCCACCCTTTCGCAATTAACCAGCAGAATTCAATGAAAGTTTCACAGTATGGTTATGACACTATGTAGAGATGATTTTATGAAAATCTAAGCATTCTGATAAACTTTTTTTTTTAATAAAAAATACCGAAAAAAACCACATAGTTTCATACAAAAAGAGTGAAAAATTGAACCAAATACACACAAAGTCTTTATATTTCATATATTTTACATTTTACAATAATTTTGATTGCGATGAGAGTTGTCTACCTTGAAAAAAATCGGAACTTTTGCAGAGGGATATAATTTATACCATGACAGCTATTTTCTTTACTATACCAAAAACGACGGAAATAAATTAAATTACTATATCAAATTGTCAATTTACAGTTCTTTCACGGAACAACATTTCTCTCAATCATGTACACGTTGGACATCATTCCATAGGCCGCTTATGCATGGTATATTTATATATCAGGTACATATGTAATCATAGGCTATCGCATGGTGTGCCGTTATCACGTGCACGCACATGCACTTTACAAACCACTATTTGTGAAATGATTTATTT